ATCTATCTGGATCTTTGTGCCAGCCTAGTACATGACATGCTGCTCTGACTAGTTCTGGTTTCAAAAGAGAGATGTTTCTACGATGTTGAAAACAGGAAAACCGAAGAATTCCCTAAAAGACATAAATATTAGGATCTAATATATCCTTCTTCTTCTTCCATTGAATAAATAAGCTCTTAGCAATTATCTTGTACCAAGTTTCTTTACCAAAAATATATAAATTTTAATTATGTCAAAGAGGCTAGAGTCTGCATAATAAAGCAAAGAGATTCAGTCAAGGAATGAATAGATTAGGAGTCCCAATTATAATCTAATTAATTAAACTGAAGCTATTAGCATGTTTTGACTGACTTGTGGGATGAGGAAAGGATTAAGGTGGAAGAAAAATCAAGACGTATTATGCAGTAAGTAAAGATTTAAAAAGAAATATTCCATGAGAGCACAGTCCTATACTGGTAGACAAGAAGAAAAAGATTAGTATGAAGTGCCACAACTAGTTTGGATCAACACCTGATTACATTGTGATTTGTGAAAGTGTTTATTAACTTCAGAAGTTTCCCTTTTTGTGGGATCAGACCAATTGTTTCACTGTCTTTCAAATTTAATTTAGTGAAATGCTATCTAAGCTTGATCCTTAAACAATTTCCAAAGAGTAGCAAATTAATGGTAGGATGGTCAATACACTTATTGGGATTCTAATTATTATTATTATTATCATTTAGTATTTATCATCTATCTATATACCACCAGCGAATATTGCAGGTTCCACAATGTTTCAAGAATAATTGGTGAAATATTAAAACTGAAACGAAGACATACTGGCCCACCAAGGTATTGGAATCCAGCAAGCTCAAGCTCCTTCAAGATGCCATCCTCACCAATGACGTAAACCTATATAATGATGAGCTACCAGTCCAAAATCAATCATATTGAATCACCAAATCAGTAATTAACAGTAAACTTTAGAAAGCTGGATCATAAATGAATTTTAGAAAAGCAAGAATAGTGAGAACAGAGTGCTCAATATATACGAAACCAGTAAGATAATGGGGATAGTAAAAAGAGACTGGAAAAAAGAAGCAGCATTTAGTACTTATTAATGATACAATACAAATAGGAAAAAGAAAGTATCACAAATGAAGACAGACATTGAAATAGAAGCTAATAGCAAATCATCCATCAAATGGTATGCTAAGATCTTGGCTTCCAGTTAACAAATAGAATTGGGCAAAATTTCAGTTTTACTTGGCATAAAATTCAGAAAATTCAATAAAACTTACTTTTTTATCTTTTGGGAAATTAATGGACTTCAAATATGCAGCAGCAGCAAATGATGATGCAAAAATTTCCTCCTGAAAACATTAATCAAGTTAGAACTAATGATTGACAGATAGATGTAAACACAAGTGATGATCACGGACAAACCTCATTGACATTCAGACCAAGTGTCTCAAATTTTTTACCATATTGTTTCCTAGATTTGGTCGAGTTGTTGGTAACAAAAACCAGTCTCTTTCCCTGAGGAACAACAGGATCATCTTTTATGGTTAAGGATAAACTTTTCTATTAACCATAAAAGATGGCATTTTGTTTTTCACAAAGTTTATTGCAGCATATATCCATGGAGATTCCTAAATGTAAATGACCAGGCCCAATTACAAACCTTTGACCGAAGCATATCAAGCGTTTCAGGGACTCCATCTATTAGTTTATCTCCCTTCCATATAACTCCTGCAAAAAATCCATCCATTACCAAAAAATTCTTTTGGTGACATCAATGCCAAAGAATAAATCTACTCATTGAACTTATAATTTATCAGTTGAATGGAAAACAAAGTTACTATAATAATGTAACAAGAAATTGATCCCAGCTAAATGGTATGCCATTTATGCTTGGCTTTAGCCATATTCACATATTCCATAGGGCAAGTTAGCAATCACATATTCCATCAGCTCATGGAATTCAGAAATTTCATCTGTATGGCCAAACTATTCACCAAAAATCTTCGATAAGGATTATTAGTTAGAAATTAATCACATTTTTTTCTCAAAAGAGAAATTAAAACCCATTAGAGTAGAAGAAAAATCAGATTGAAAAGGGACGAAAATGATCACCATCACAATCAAAGATGAAAGTCTCCACGGAAGCGATAAGCTCGTCGGCGTTCTTCAAAGGTTGAGTAGATGCCCTTGTCTTCATTATTCTGGAAAACTTGTTGGGACTACAATTGCTAACACTTCTCCATTTGATGGCTAAAGCAGAGACTGACAAGGAGTTTACAAAAGACAGCCTTTCCAGACACAAATACCGATGTGATGGATTTATTAGAGATTTGGAAGATGAAGATGAGGCTGCAGTAACAGAGGCTGAAACTAAAACTGCCGCTTTGGTTATCATCTTGTCTTTCTTTTTCTTTTTTTTTTTTGGTTTGGATTTTTATATTTTTTAAGTTTTATCAAGCGGCGGTAGTTTGTGGCCGTTATGTTTATGGTAGTTTGAGTGGTAGTAGTTTGTCTCATCATCCATTTTGTGGCTCATCTCTACACTTTTGGTTTTCTATTTTTCAATAGAACTTTTTTATTGGCAAAACAATAGACTTTTTTTTTTCACATAAAATTACTTTTCCCATCTTAACCCTCTTTAAAGTATGACTTTGTATTTTTTTTTTTTATAGAATTTGACTTTTTAAAGGCTTTATTTTTTATGTAGTTTGCATTTATTTTGAAAGATTACATTTCTCTCATTTTCAATCTTTGTTCACCTCCTTTTTTTTTTTTTTAATCACTTTTTTTCGACTCTCGTTTTGCATTTTTGCTTTTAATTATATCTAATTTTGTTCTCCTCTCCGTTTAGATTGTCAGCTTGCTCTCACCTCTGTATTACCGCCTACTTAGATTAGGGCTCTTTTGAACATTATTTTTTAATTATATGGTTTTATTTTTCTAAAAGATTGATTGTGCCTAAAGATAACTTCTATGCTATGCGAATTTCTACAAATTTAGTTTTATTTCAATATTTTCAAAAGATTAGTTTTTTTTTTTTTAAATGATTTGAAAATCAAATGCCATAAATGTATTCCTAATGTATTTGGTTTTTTTGGTTGATCTTCTTTAAAGTTGATGAACTGAATTTAAAATTTGTAAAAATTAGTTGTTATTTGATAATATGAATGATTTAATATTAAATTATACCATCTTTTTGCCCTATTTGTCTTAGTATTCTCTAGGAATAAGTTTAAGTTCAGTTGCTATTGAAGTGCTGTATATAATTATGGCAATAAAAATAATATTGTTTTACTAGGAAACATTAACTATGGATAAATCTTGGTTACTTACTGATAGACGATTAACAAAATATGAGGCATGGTGGAAATGTTTTTAAAGTTTGCTTCAATTAAAGCAAATAACTCAAAATATATACACTAACGTTGTCGATAAGTTAGGGATTATAAATTTTGGAAAGATTGGGGAGGTTAGAGCTCACTTTTATTCTAACGTTGTTGATTATAACAATTACAATTTTCATGGGAAAACCATCCACAATACATTACATATGGTATAAATAAAGAAGAGTCGAGAACTTATGAAGGGTTCAATGCATTTGAAACTATAGAAATGGTACAACCTGCACATAATTGTTGTGCAGATAATGTTGGCAACTTGACCCATTGTTAGAGGATACAAAGAAGCCGTTGTATCATGGTTGTAAGAAATTTACAAAATTATTAGCGTTGGTCAAGATGTATAACTTAAAAGTAAGACATGGGTGGAGTGATCAAAAATTTTCAAATTCACTTTACTCGTTAGAAGACATTTTTACAGAAGATGATCAGTTGGCTTTAGGTGATTGTATTAAAATTTTAGTGATTTATCATTTTTTTAGGATATTTTATGATGAATATTTGCTTATATTTTAAGAATTTATGACAAAAATACTCCTATTTGCTTAAATATTCAATGTGTAAGTAAAAGTATGAGAAAAGAGAAACAAATGCAGCTTTTGGACTTATTTTGGATGCATTTTGGTGCCAAAAGCTCGAAACTAATGTAAATTTGCTTCAATGCTATACTTGGGAGATTTTTTCTATCTTTTCCTTCATTACTTCATTTGCTTAATTGATCTTAATTGGAATTTAATTCATGCTTTAATCTTCATTTTTTTTATGAAAATATTCTTTTTAGATCATTAGTACTTTGTCACATTTGTAGTAAAGTTACATGAGCTAATAAGGATGCAATGAAAAAAGAGCTATTTTAGAGCAACCAATTAAGCTAAAATTTCTAGATTTTGACATGGCTTACTTGACATTTAGGTGGCTGTTTATTGGCTAGAATTTGCAGAAGAAATGGAGTTACAATGGCGCCTGAATGAAAAGGAAGGATTCGAGCTTAACCTTTGGATGCAATCAAGTGGAGATCTAAGGAGTTGGTGCCTTTTCTTGGATTTAAATGGAAGGCTAATGGGCAGCAGCTGATGTGGCATTTTGGAAGGCTTTAACTGGTCATAATTTTGACTTTTAAATCTCACAAGACTAAAAAAAGAAAGTTTGAAGAGAATTGAAGTGAAAAGAAGCAAACTAGGAAGCTTATAAAGCAAGATTGGATGACATGGAAATATCTAACTTAGGTGGCATCCTAACTGGCATTTTTTTGTAATTTGATTGGTTGGAACACATTATCCTTGGCCTATAAATAGGACTAGTGGCTGGCCACTGAAGGAGAGTGTGGGGAGTTAGATTAGAAAATAGATTGTAGGATTTACATTTCCTGCATTTACTTTCTTATTCATTTTATCTCAATCAATTTCCTTCTTATTCTTTTAGACCTTTAATTTTCCAACCAAATTTACATTTTATGCATTTAATTTTCATCCACTTTAGATTGAAGCAATGCAATTTAATTTTCTTAAGTTTTCGTGCACATTTACAAGCTTTTCCATTACTTTCTCAATGTTGTTTGGTTATTTTTAGCATTACACTACTTGCAATTTTCACATTAGATCTCATTGAATTCTTGCGCATTTTTATCCAAATTTTTTTCTGCAAACTCTCAATTCATAGCACTAAAAATATGAAAAATTTTTGTTGTCAATTTTGTTGTAATTTTTCTAGAAATCACCAAAGCTAGAAATCTAGTAGCAAATGACGTAACACACTACAAGAATTTTTTCATATACTGACGGTTTTTTAATGCTATCAGAATATATCATACCTATACCAATACTTTATACAACCATCAGTATAAATAAACTTTTTCTGACGATATATAACTATCCGTTAGTATAAGTATGCTATATACTAACATTTACCTATACTGATGGTTAAATTATGTAAATAAAAAGTATCTATACTGACAAATTTTTATCACTGTCAATGTGGACAATGCCTATACCAACATTTTATTCTTCCATCAGTATATATTGATCTTTTTCTGATAGTATATAAATAACCATCAGTATATATATTTATATACTAATGGATTGTACTTTTTGATATAAATTCTAACTAGTAAATACTATCAATTAGTATTTATACCCACAAAAGTAATTAATTATCACTATAGCCATAGGATATACTGACTGTTAATCTACCCGTTAGTATACAATACAAAAATTTTTCATTTATTGACGCTTAATTATATTAACAGTCAAATTGCGTCAATAAAAGTATCTATACTGATGGATTTTTAATACCGTCATAATATACAATATCTATACCAACATTTTGTACAACTGTAGGCATAAGTAAACTTTTTTTTATAGTATATAAATATCCATCAGTATAAGTATGTTATATACTAACAATTATAATAACCATTAATATAAGCTTCAAAAAAATATTAATTCCTAATTTCTTTTTTGAAAAATTTATGTGATTTTTTCTTTGACTTGTATGTTTATGTTTACTCTTAGCTTTTTAATTGTTGAAAAAAAAATCAAATATGAAGTTGATTGATCAATTAGCTTCCCAATCAGTATAAGATCAAATATGAGTTTTTAGGCTTCTTTTATTTATGCTTTATGTAAGCTTTTTTGTTAATGGGTTTTGATTCTCGAGTATAGAAATATCACTTTGTTTCTTAGAGTGAGAGGGAGGATAGTGTTCCCTCAAATAATTAATGAAAGGTGGGGTTGGATTTTGTACCCTTCCAACCTATCCTTATTGCATCCAAAACACCAAAATAGATCCTTAAATCTTATGCTTCTTCCACTTCAAACCCCATTGATTCTCAAAACCCTAACCATTTCCCCCTTCCAACAATCCCTACCCATAATTGATCAAAATTCTACAGGCGGAAGCCGAAGCCATGGCCATTGTAGATTCTAGAGACCTAGCCCTCTCATTCCATACTGCTATGAACAACCATGCCAATTTGGTGGTGAAGCTCTCATCTCTCAAACAAGCCAAAGATATTCTTTTTTCTCTCAATTCTTCCTTTGCTATCGAGCTTTTCCTTTACCTTGCTGGCCTCCAATGCTCTCCTTAGAGCCTCAATAGGAATTTGTTGACGAGTGAGTTTTAAACCCTAATTCTACTATTTCTTTCCTTTTTTCTTTGTATTAATTCCTCACGATTTTGTAATATTTTTCATAATCCTATCATTGCATTTTTACAATTTGTCATAATATTGTGAATTTGTGAAAAATTGGAAATGTTTTGTGTTAAATCTATAAAATTACTGATCTAATTGCTTATGAAGGATAGCTTTGCTTTGTCATCTCATTGTATGTTGGCAGAAAAGGTTTATCATTTTCTTTTATATGCTAGCTTTCTATAGTGATTTTTAATTGCTTATACATTTTGGCAGATCAACATTTGCTGTTCTTGGTCTTGTGAGTGAGTCACATATACAGCAACAACATATGTCAACCTTGCATCCATTAGACACTACTTTGGTTTAAGGAGTAACTCTGACATGATAATTCAAAGTTGTTCAGATTTTAAAAATTTACTAGCTGCACCTTAAATAGTTATATGGATCTGATCATCAAGTAAGCAGTTATGAGATAAATCTTAGTTTTTTTTCCATAACTTCTCTTGTACTTTTATTTTTTAAACTTCTTTGCCACCATGAACCAAACTTTGCTTTTGTAATACCTCTTCTTTCTTACGGTGCTTCAATGTCTTTAACTGCCAAGAAAACATTGAAAAATTATGCCAACAAGTATGTGTCAAAGATAACAAGAGCTAATGGTTTCTTTTGACTTGTCTAGCCTTAGTGTTATGATCTGATGTATGCAAACTAGAACTTTAGCCCTAAACATGTTATTTTGTCATCTTTGATTCATGTTTTTTTCTATGATTTCAACCTTAAACAAGGTATTTTCTCTATGATTTCTTCTATGCCTTATTGTAACACCACAGATCCATGATATTTATCTCAATATCGTAGTTTAAAAGTGTAGTTTGAGATTCCCACTTAGGTTTTCAATTAATTCATTTAATCTTTTGATTCTTTTGTATAAAATGATTGT